GCATATCAGCAAACAGTCGGTCTCGGTCTCTCACAATACCCTTGCTGGTGTTAAGCGTTCGGTGAGCCGAGACTGATACGGGAATGCCGACAAAAGATTTAGTTGACAGAAGGTTGTTTGCCTGATGTCTCTTACTGCATTCAACAAGTAGAGAACCTGACCGTAAACGTTTGACCTGTTTGACATCACCTGCAATGCCTTGTATGCCTTTTGAAACAGCAAAAGGGTTCAGTTTTAAAGGAGTCTTGTCAACAGTCTCAAGCACTATAAAACGTGGCCAGTATTCAATAGACGTGGTCGATCGTTGGTCATTAACCTCAGGATCTGTGTCAAGAAGACGTTTCTTTTTGGTAATAGGGGTTTTGGTAGCCATGGTTAGTGTTTAAGGGTTCATCATCCGAGCTCCCCACCCACCATGGAGTATCATGAAGACAATGCTAAAACAAGTGGGTTTCCAACTTGCAGCACCAAGGATACTCGGATGATATACTCCAGCAGAAGGAAGTAAAAGATTTATTCCTCCACCAGATTGGCCCATGAGCCACCGCCTTCTGGGCATACGACTCTAGGCAAAAACATACATGAAATAGTGTATTTGAAATTATGAGATCAAAAATTGGCCAAGACTTAAAAATATCATTACATAAATCCCAAAATTTTGTGTTACAATTCACAATTGTAGTACACACAGGGCTTGGCGTGACCAGCCGATTGGTTGAACCGGGCCAGTTCAACCACCCGTCTAGGTGAAGTAAGGGGCGAAGTGGTGTGTTGGGCAAAGGAACACTGTTCCTGGAACCAGTGCCCTCAACCACCAGCCTCCCGTCCTCCACCGACACAGGGGCGCAACCCACGGCAAACGGGTTGGTGGACCAAATATCCCCCCGGGTCCACAACGGGGGGTTGAAGGGCTCTTAGCGTTATCCAGCACCCACCACGAGGAGGTGGCCCTTCATGGGCACAATGCCTGTTGTAGCAGATTGCTTTCCTGGCGATTCAGATGTCAACTTTGACGCAGGAGATGGTGGCGCTGAAGCGGCAGATGTCGACATTAAAGCAGAAGATGGTACAACACCCTGTTCAGTCTCCATTCCTGACTCCTACACACACCTCACGATGGACGTCCCTGTTGCTGACCCGAGGGCAGTCGTCTCATATATATTTCCTCTTGACAACTAACACTCGATATTCATTTCGATCCATCGTTAACCGGAGCAGGGTATGGTGACATTGAAGCAGGAAATGGTGACATTGAAGCAGGAAATTGTGACATTGAAGCAGGAAGTTGTGACACTGAAGTGGGGATGTTGACATTGAAGCAGGGTATGGTGACATTGAAGCAGGAAATGATGATATTGAAGCAGGGTATGGTGACATTGAAGCAGGAAGTTGTGACATTGAGGCAGGATATGGTGGAATTGAAGCAGGGGATGGTGACATTGAAGCAGGAATGATGATATTGAAGCAGGGGATGGTGACATTGAAGCAGGAAATTGTGACACTGAAGTGGGGATGTTGACATTGAAGCATGGGATGGTGACATTGAAGCAGGAAATGATGATATTGAAGCAGGAAATTGTGACATTGAAGCAGGGGATGGTGACACTGAAGCAGGAAATGATGATATTGAAGCAGGGGATGGTGACATTGAAGCAGGAAATTGTGACACTGAAGTGGGGATGTTGACATTGAAGCATGGGATGGTGACATTGAAGCAGGAAATGATGACATTGAAGCAGGAAATTGTGACATTGAAGCAGGAAGTTGTGACACTGATGTGGGGATGTTGACATTGAAGCATGGGATGGTGACATTGAAGCAGGGGATGGTGACATTGAAGCAGGGGATGGTGACATTGAAGCAGGGGGTGTAACACTGAAACAGGAAATGGTGACTTTGAAGCAGGATATTGTGACACTGAAGCAGGGGATGTAACACTGAAGCAGGAAATGGTGACTTTGAAGCAGGAAATGGTGACTTTGAAGCAGGGGATGGTAACATTGAAGCAATATATTGTGACACTGAAACAAAAGACGGTGACATTGAAGCAGGATATTGTCACAAGCAGAGGATGGTGACATTGAAGCAGGATATTGTGACATTGAAGCAGGGATGGTGACATTGAAGCAGGATATTGTGACATTGAAGCAGGAGATGGTGACATTGAAGCACGCCGATCTTAGCAATATTGCAGCTAAACGACACCGACCTGTGAATATCAAGTCTGGACCACACAAGCCAGTGATTGTTAGTATAGTGAACACCCCCCTCGAACTGTATGTTTGTTGTTTTACGCCGCACTCAGCAATATAGCAGCTTAATGACGGCGACCTGTAAATATCAAGTCTGGGCCACACAAGCCAGTGATTGTTAGTATTTAGTACGCACAACATCCTATGTGAACTGTATGTTTGTTGTTTTACGCCGCACTCAGCAATATAGCAGCTTAATGACGCCAACCTGTAAATATCAAGTCTGGACCACACAAGCCAGTGATTGTTAGTATGTAGTACGTACAACATTCTATGTGAACTGTATGAATGTTGCTTTACGCCGCACTCAGCAATATAGCAGCTTAATGACGGCGATTTGTAAATATCAAGTCTGGACCACACAAGCCAGTGATTGTTAGTATTTAGTACGTACAACATCCTATTTGAACTGTATGATTGTTGTTTTACGCCGCGATTAGCAATATAGCAGCTTAATGACGGCGATTTGTAAATATCAAGTCTGGACCACACAAGCCAGTGATTGTTAGTATTTAGTACGTACAACATCCTATTTGAACTGTATGATTGTTGTTTTACGCCGCACTCAGCAATATAGCAGCTTAATGACGGCGATTTGTAAATATCAAGTCTGGACCACACAAGCCAGTGATTGTTAGTATGTAGTACGTACAACATCCTATGTAAACTGTATGTTTGTTGTTTTACGCCGCACTCAGCAATATACCAGCTTAATGACGCTAACCTGTAAATATCAAGTCTGGACCACACAAGCCAGTGATTGTTAGTATTTAGTACGTACAACATCCTATTTGAACTGTATGATTGTTGTTTTACGCCGCGATTAACAATATAGCAGCTTAATGACGGCGATTTGTAAATATCAAGTCTGGACCACACAAGCCAGTGATTGTTAATATGCGTAACGTTTCACGTCAGCTGCTTGCTGCTTAATGCTTCAGTTCTCTGTACAATAACGAGGCTCACATTACTTTGACTGTTGGAAGACGAAAACCTGAACAGGCTCAACTGTTGTCAAGCATTTAATGAGGGAAAGTTGTGATTGATGTGTTAATTCAATCCTGTTTATAAGAACATTACGAAGTAATAATTTGATGATTCTATGTCTTACGTTGTTATAAGTCGTTACAGGATATGGTATGTAATTAAATCACGACAACATTTGAACAAACTGGGGAAAAATACTCAACATGAAAACACAATTGCTGATTATAGAAAGGCAGTCGTCAGCTTATTATTCTCACTGAACAGGGAAATTCTATTTGAAACATTTTTTTTCAGATGTCTCTGAGACCAAAGGGTAGTTAAATCGAAAGTACATATGTTTCTGTTTTTGAAAATTTTGATATTTTACAAAATATCGTATCTTGTGTACTTAATTATATGAATTCCTTTTTACATGCATGACATGTGTAAAAAAGCTTTACTTTAGGAAGAGATGTGTCTTGTGTATCAAGTTCAGTGTGTAATGGAGGTAATTGCAATTGAATTATTTGAAATTTTAATAAAGGCTCGCCTCGCATGAAAGTGTTTTCGTGTTCATGTCCATGATAATTCAAAACGTATGGGGCTGTTACAAAATAAAACTGAAAATAGAAACATAGTCATTTCTTTAAACTTCAGCTTTTTCTATTTATTTAAAGTAAAATATGTTTTATACATCATGTCGGTCCTTGACAAACACCACGAAGATGGTTGCAGAGAGACTTACGCATCATTTCAACACCATTCGCTTCAAATTAAAGGGACAAATTTACGAAATTGTAAGAAACCTGTTCATATTTTATTCATGGTTCATTGACAATTGATGAGTGAGCACAAATACAGTAAACAATACATGCAATGGTCACATTTAGGTTTTATTCTTGACATGAACGAACATCGACTACACTTTTGATCATATTTTGTTGCAATAGCACGAGTACTGTGAGAGCTAAGAAAGGACAGGAATCCCTGGTATGACATCCAAAATACTGTGTGGAGTACATATTAGTACATGGTTTATTGTTTATGTCCCTGTTTTGTTTCTTAGCTTAACATTTCGGTCTATATTCTATGTTTATAATAGTATCAAATATGAACAGGTTTCGGTGAGGAAACTTCAGTAATTAAACTGTATTTCGGGTCTCAGGGGGTGTCTGTTTGAACAGTTTTGATTTTACATTACTGGATCCAGTAAATTGGATACCTACACTATGTGAAATAAACATGCTGATAATTTCGTCATTTACCTGTTGCCTTCGGGTAAACTGCGGCATCACATGTAATCCGTGTTCGATTCTGTTTTAGCCAAATCTACTGCTTTTTAGGGTTTAAATGATTTTTTTATTGTTGTATGAATTGTTCTCGTAACGATATGACCGAAATATTGCCAACAGAACATTGAGTGTTGAACCGCTCACCCACTCTTATTCTCAGTGACGACATTAGTGTCCTAGCAAGTGACCCATGATAAACGTAATCTGTAGATAATCAGGGAAATGTTGAGAAGGTACTGGGAACACAAAGAGTCACTAAAACTAAGAAAAGTACAACTCACGTACACTATAAATAGCCACAACTGTAAACATGCCGATGACAATAGAACGTTTTGACGTGAGGGAGTTTCTATCATCGTTTGGGCGAATTGGGGCGTTACATTTTGTATGACCAAAAATGATTGGTGTTCAAGTCACCAATGCCCTTTTGTGTGTGTGTATGTGTTCTTTTGATAAAACTGAATTACCTAACTCTTTCGTCCCTGCTCACATTGGGTGCAAAAAATAAATTCAACGGTACTGCTCACAACTGAACAAGTTTTAACCTGAACACAGATGTCGTGAGCACAAGTATGAGAGGTATTAGTGGTTACAATATTGCTAGTTGGAAATACACTGACTTTCTCCTGCTATCGTCACTGTGAGTATAATCGGGTTTTTAATCTCCCGTGATTTCTGCGTAATTCCCGTTCTGTCTTGGGGAAGAAACCTAACCTACTAATGTGTACATTGTGTTTAGTATGTTGCATATGGTTTATACAACATGGTCTTTATTCATAACACTATGCCTTGCATCTTAAATCACAAAACGTGTCCAGTTCGGAATCGCTGGGAGAGACTTATAAATAGTTAATGAAGTGTTTGTTGTGCTGGTACAGCATTGAACGATCCTGTCACGGTGTATTCTCGGCCATTTTGCTTTTCACGTCAAGTTGAATATGTTTCGTCGGATAATCGGAACGGGTTATTCATAGGTGTTTTATGGTTACATGTTGAACATATACGTAAATGTTATCGATAGCAATACTCTTTTATATCAATATATGCCCTGCAACTTGCATAAAATAGCCTTCAGAATCTGTATTGTGTTATGATGATTTCTGTTACATTCCAATCCTTTATGATATGTACAGTATATAAACAACGTTGTTGTGCCATCTCTTCAATCCCTGATTATTTTGGCCGTAACGCATTACATATTCTACTGTGACATAGAAGAATGATTGGTTTTGAGTGGTAAAATATACAATAAAAAAACTGACTGTTAATCAATAAAGGTCGTGGAGAAGTCGATTCTTTGCGCATTTACTTTTCATTATTTCTACAACTGCCACAACCATAATGGGAGATGGAATGTCGCGCTCTCTTTTAATGAATATTTTTACCTATTGCCTTAATTTAAAAACAAAACACTTGGCAAGTCCAAACATTACAAATTTGCAACAGCAGCGAACAAATTGAGACATATATCGTTGGACTCATTTTGGGAGGGTACCTGTCAATTTCTTTTGACAACCTCTGTTTTGAACCTTTACTTTGAACAATTCAGTACAATGTAATCTTAAACTTCAGCAATATTTGTTATAATTATATTTAGTTCTGACTGCTTTCGAGAGAACAGATCAGAACATCAATTACTTTCAGGCCACTTAAATGTACAATATTATTGAAAATACCTGCATAGTGGCAGGACATTTGGCTGTATCAATGTAATAACTAAAATCCATTGTGTAGAGGAGAGTATTTGCTTCTGGAGAACTTATAGCTTAGCAGTTAACTATATAATAGAATAGACAAAGCCTTTCCCACGAGTGGCTGTATCCTCGAGGGGGGTTAAAGTACTGTAAAATTATTGTCCTCCTGAGAGGGTACGTAAGTCCCCAAACATTCAAAGTAAATTTCAACTTTCCGTTTTTTAATCGTAGAATATTTGTAATTTTAATGTATGGCTAGATATGTCTTAATTGCTAACGGCTGAGGGGATGATATAAATCCAGCTAGGGCCCATGCAGGAAGCAAATGTACTGTAAGTCCCCATGGTCCCTAGTATGGTGATCTACCTTCAGATGTTAGCGATCTATAACCCATTTTTAGACTGTGTTGTCCCCTATGGTTAAAATGTTTAGATTCAATTACTAGTTTTACATATCTATATCTGTGATACTCTAGTTGCTTTACTGTCCTTCGATGACAGGTTTTATAATATATACATATTCCATTACAATGTAAAATGTTCTCGTCACGATATGGCTGAAATATTGCCGATGTGACGTTAAATATTAACTCACTCACTCACCCTTCCCACGCCCATAGAAAATCTCTGCTAAAGGCAGAGACGATTGTACATTTCCGACTACACAATGATGAGAATGTGTTTGTTTGACACTGCATCCAGCAGTATGACAGCAGTGAACATTGGAGTCTAAAGTAGTCACAGAACAAATACATGGTATTGATAACAAACACAGTTATTCTGACATACGTTACAGGTTCATTCTATTCTATAATCCCTTCCTATTATGTCACCACACGTGTGTCAACATGTAATCTTATGGTGTTCCTTCAAGCTCGCCATGAATCATTAGACAGGCGTTCTTTTTCGTAAAGAAAGAAGTTTACACAAAAACTCTAAGTGTACCTTCTGAATATTTCTAAAGTAATCAAAGCACCATAGCCCACAACCACGTAATACAACTGGGAGTATCACTGCATCAGAATGTTTAAGATATAATACACGGATGTGTTTTTTTTGAGTGGCATTTAGAAGTTGGCGTGACGAACAACGAGTAGAGTTCTATGGATATACAACGTCTTTAATATAAGCGACGTTTCGGTGTAGTTACTAACACCGTTATCAAGCAAATGATGTACAATACTAAAGGCAAGGTTATATATATACATAGTAAAGTTTGAACAGTCCAGGATTTCACCCGCATATCTGACCCTGTCACTCTGTCCTGTTGTTGGAGCAAGTGGACGGTTCCGTCTCTGCTGTACTTATGTCTTGATGCACCTGGGGAGTCTGGCGTAGAAGAACAAAGCTGTGATAGGGCCGTTACGTTAATGACATTATATACTGTCACAATGTCACTGCCGTAACATGCGGTCTTTACCTGTTTTTCACATGAGAGGGACATCCATAAGTAAATCTTTTGCCTATTACATATTCTTTAAACATTCTGAAGCATATGACTGACAAATTTCATTAAATTATCTTTTAAAGTAAACATATAAAACTGGCCATTATTAAACATATCATTGCCGTTATTGTGTCACTACCATAACAATTAATGCTAATGTCCATTCCACAATATTATCGATTTCCTTATTTAATTGAAATTGATTTATGTGTTTATGTCTGGAATTTGTAGTGTAATGTCATTTTGTCTTTCAACGAAATGAATCATGATAGAAAAGTTCCTCATTCAAACAGTAATGTTTACAATAACGAAGACAATCCTAACAAGTTCAAAGCAACTAGGTATTTATCTTTTACAGATCTTCAGAAGTCCGTGATGAAGAATTTAGAGATGTTGAGTTACACCCTGATGTTCCTAATATTTGGTGAGTATTTTGTGTACATATAGGGGTTATCACGCGAGCGTGCTCTACAGTGGTAAATATTCTGTATTCTGGATAATCGTTGTCCTTTACAATGACTGTATATATTAATGGAAAAACCGCATTATTAAGTAATAACCGCATTAAGATTGAGCCTAAAGTTTGTTCACTATCAGTAATTCTCTGTTTCAGCCATTCAAGGAAAGGGTGAGGAGTGTCCCTTGGGTACATATGGTGAAACCTGTGATAGAAACTGTAGCCCTCACTGTGCCCCTTCTCCTTCTGACAAGAATGTCCACTGTGACAAACTGACTGGAATGTGTTCAGAAGGATGCAATAGAGGCTGGCATGGGGATCAGTGTAATTTCCGGTGTAGCAGGAACTGCTTCAACTATGTCTGTGAAGTACAACGTGGAACTTGCGTGGGATGTAAAACTAACTATTCAGGAGATTATTGTGAAATGTACGAAGGTACGTGGACTGAATAATATGTGTTTTTGTATGTTTGTTTAATGATAACATGCATACTGAATAACAGAGGTAGTTCGCAAGAAACCTTTCTTTAACCAAATGATGGTATTATGTGTATCTATTTGTTGAAACAAAAGATGGGACTATGTTGCTCATGTTCTTTTGAGGGTATGTTTTATTCCCCGTTGTTGAATGGCTATCAAATGAGCTAAATGAAAGTGTGAAATACATTCCACAAGACACAAAATAATACGATTCTGTGATGATACTGTCACTAAAAATATAATTATAAGGGACCGTTCATAATTTATGGCTAGGTGGGATGATGATGATTTTTATGGAGAAGCATGTACAATGTCTTTTTATTTTGGAATATTGCAGGTATTTACAGCAAGTTAAGTGATGATGATTTTGTTAGTTATATTAACAAATTTGACATTATTGGTTTATGTGAAACATGGACTTATGGTATTGACTTTGGAGATACATCCCCAGGCTATGAAATATACTATAAAAATGCAGAGAATATATCATCAAGTGAGAGACTTTCAGGTGGAATATTTGTCATGGTGAGAAAAAGCTAAAAGAATACATCTTATCTTCAAACATAACAGAAAATGCAATATTTCTTCTCTTCGACAAAAGACTTTTTAATCTTAATCTAGATTTACTGTATACCTGTACATATATCAACAAACCAGGTCTTTATTGCCAAAATGGTATAAGTCTTTTCCAGGACAGTTTATTAGATATTTTATCAAGTATGTCAGAGGTACATATTTTGTGCGGAGGAAATTTTAATGCTCGTACAGGTACAGAGCCCGATTTCATCGATGATGAAATCATCAAACATACAGAAGGGCAAGACCAATATGGGATTTCGTGTTAGATTATTTTAGCATAAAAAGACTTTAATCTGACAAACTTGTCAATGCGTATGGCAAAGGGCTTGTTAGACCTATGCTCAGTTCTCAACATTCATATAATGAATGGACGGTGGCGATCCGACTCAGAAATAGGCGACCCTACGTGTATTTGTCATAACGGAACAAGTGTAGTAGATTATATATTACGTTCATCATCAATTTTTGATAGTGTCCTTGACTTTGCAATCCCTTCCCGCACACAATACGACCATCTTCCTCTTACTATGAAGTTACATGCGCTTCACACTCACCATACATCAACTCAGAAACAGTCGTATAGATCTGTTTGGCATAATGATAAACTTGAGCTCTTTAGACAAAACATGTTCTCAGAAAGTATTCAAGAGTTACTAAGCCAGTCAGCACATTTCGTATTTATAAACATTGATAGGAGCATAGATCTTATTGTACAAGTACTTTGCACAGCAGCCTCAGGTATGAAAAAACGAACTGGTAAGAGAGGAAACAGAGCTCAAACTTGGCATGATGCAGGGTGTGATAAACTGAAAAATGAAAGATGCAAATATTCAAATAGGTTTCGTAAGTCTAAGGATGTTCGAGCTCTAGAGGATTACTATTGCATTAGAAATATGTATAATGCAGTTTGTAAACAAACGAAGTGACTATTTGAAACTGAAACAACAACAATTAGAACATAGTGTTAACAATTCTAAACAGTTTTGGTCTTCGCTTAAAAAAAAAATGAATGGGAAAGCAAGACAAACAAATGACACTGAGATCAATGAATGGTATTCTTATTTCAAAGAATTGTTTTCTACGTCTGAAATCAATGAAGTCATGAATAACTATACAGCCAGTCAGGGCGATAAAAATAATTGTCAAAAATGTGATATAAATAACTCAATGACAAATGACATACTTGACGCTCCAATAACTCGAGAAGAAATCATAAATAGTTTTAGACAATTGAAGCTGAACAAATTACCAGGAATAGATGATACTATCTCCGAAGTTTTCTTACACTCATCAGAATATTCTACGCCCATATCTTGAATTATTGTTTAATGTCTTTTTTGAAAATGGGTTTTTTCCACATTCATGGTCGATTGGTATCATTGGTACCTATTCATAAGAATGGTGAAAAAAATCAAACTGAAAACTATAGAGGGATTACTCTTCTAAGTGTCTTTAGTAAAATATTCACTGCCATCATAAATAAACGTCTAGTATTCTGGGCAGAATCCTTTGATAAGATCAGCGAATCCCAAGCTGGCTTTAGAAAAAGGATATACTACTACTGACAACATATTTGTTTTACATTAACTTATACAGAAATACTTATATAAGAAAGGTACCAAATTCTATGTTGTCTTTGTAGATTTTGCAAAGGCCTTCTACTCTGTTAAAAGAGAAAAGTTATGGAATCTTCTAGATAATCATTCCTTAAGCAGTAAAATGAGTAAACTTTTAAGAAGTATTTATGATAACGTAAAGATGTGTGTGAGAAATATCTGAAACCTTTGAGAGCCAAATAGGAGTAAGACAAGGTTGTATTACGGTTGTATCGCGGATTACAAGCAGAAATAAATGAATTAGAAACATATCATGAATGGAAACTAACCGTAAATAGAGATCAAACTAAAATAATTGTGGTCAAGAATGGAGGTAAACTTGCTGCAAAAGAGACATGGTATTATCAAGGAGAAATGATAGAAACAACTACGTCTGACACATAGTATTAGTATTACTTAGGAGTTTACTTTACAAACCACCTATCGTGGTCCTTACATGTCAGAAATGCATCGATGCAAGCAAAGAAAATACTAATTGGTATTATTAGATATATTGATATTCTAGGTGACTTGTCACACAAATCATTTTTAGAATCTTTGATGCTAAGATTAGTCCTATACTTCTACATGGTTTTGAGGTTTGGGGACTACAAACATTTGATACACTAGCAAAAGTACATCCATATGCAATAAAAAGATTCCTTGGTTTGAAGATTACTACTTCAAACATAACGGTTTATAGTTAATGTGGTAGGTTTCCATTATTTGTTGAATCAAACATGAAAGTAGTAAAATATTGGCCAAAAATCTTAAATATGCCATCTTACAGATTACCCCAAAAATGTTACAATATGATGATTTTGTACGACAGAAGTGGAACACGTAATTGGGTCACAGATGTAAAAAAATTACTATTTTCTACTGGTTTCGGTAATATATGGCTAGGGCAGTGGATAGACTCGCATCCAAATTTTCTTATATCCATTAAACAAAGGTTACAAGATATCTCCAGAATTGGCTTGACCTATTATCTGTATCAAATAAATGTTTATATTACAAAATGTTTAAGCAATCTATAAAGAGTGAAACTTATCTATCATATTTGAATGTAAGGAAATATAGAATCACGCTTACAAAATTTCGTTGCTCCTCCTATGATTAGAATAGAAACAAACGATAGAATATGTAAAATGTGTGACTTGAATCTAATTGAAGATGAATATCATTTTCTTTGTGTTTCTCCAGCCTACCACAATTTAAGAAATAAGTATATTAAGAAATATTACTTTGAACATCACAATATATATAAATTTATATCTCTGAATGAATGACCCTCCCCCTCCCTTCCCCTTAGCACATGTGTACAAAATTGGTGGCCCTCCTGCCTCCCAAGAACAAAATGGGTGACCTCTCTTTCTCTCTCTCTCTCTCTCTCTCTCTCTCTCTCTCTCTCTCTCTCTCTCTCTCTCTCTCTCTCTCTCTCTCTCTCTCTCTCTCTCTCTCTCTCTCTCTCTCTCTCTCTCTCTCTCTCTCTCTCTCTCTCTCTCTCTCTCTCTCTCTCACACAATACAAATGATTTATAATACAAGTGATACGTGTCAGCCACTAATTTACCTGCCGTACCTAGGTCTTATCCTTATCTATACTCCTTTTATCAGGCAACGTCAATGACCTTAATGCCGATGGTAATCCACTGTGTTGTTAATACAGCCAATCAGCCATGAACAGGAGACCCGAGATACCGGATGCCGGATTAGAGAGCTTTGAATAATGTACAAACAGTCAATGGAGCGGTGTTTGTTTTGCCGAAATACGGAATAGACGGATTAGAGGGCGTGTAAATGATCATAATTTAACTGACGCTTCTGCCGGGACCAAATCAAATTCTAGTGCCGATATTGAGATCATGCCGGATTGGAGGGCTGCCGGTTTAGAGGACTTCCATTGTATGTGTGAACGCCATCGCAAATAGAAGTTAATTCTAAATTGGACGTGTGAAGTTGTGTGTGTCTGGGTGTGGTGGGGGGGTTTGGGCGTTTCCTTAATAATCGCAATGATTACTTGCCCATAGTTATCAGTGTATTTGACATTAACAGTGTATTTAACATTAACATTTGACATTTATGCTCGAGAAGACCGACTTATATGCCAGTAGATGGTATGAAGTGACACTTGTGTGGGGATGAACCGGAGCAAGGAAAATATTCAGAGGAGTATCTCAAATAGAACCGACAAAACCTTTTCCACATCCATAAGAAATCTATGCTAAAAGCAGGGTTGATTGTACAATTGTGACCATATACTTTGGTGGTGTGTGGTCCTGTGCATAGAGCATAAATCACTTGAAGTTAAGCAACGTTGGGCGGGGAGGATCCACGGATTGATGACCATGTCTGGCAGCTTCTAGGATTTCATTCCTGCCCCACAACGAAGCACATGCGATACATGCGGTCTAACCTAAGGCAATGGAGTTTATTCAAAATTGTCTCTCTGTTTATCCAGCAGAAAATGGGTATCCAGTGGGAAAGGTAATGTGACTATTAATCTTCTAGCGTCTCACAGACAGCTTGGGTTATAATTATCCGGGGTAATAATAATCAGATTGTGCGCTATGAACATCCATATTTGTGCGCTTTGAGCAGGATGTGAGGACTGGAAAGGTATGTTATAAATATTCCTATTATTATATAATGAGTATATATTTGTTTCAGCAGCATCACAAATGTACGAAGTTGTTTGTAAACAAATCGGACCAGACAATCCAGTTATTGTCACTATGCAATACGATGACAGAGCCTGTGTTTATGAATCACTATGAAATAGTGATGATACCAAATTTTCAGTGATCACATCCTGTCCCACCGATGGCACCCGTGATAATAGGAGCGACAAAACCCTTTCCATATTCATAAGAAATATCTGCTAAGAGCAGAGTCGATTGTACAATAGTGACTTTATCATGAGCAGATATTTGTGTCAGCAATATTAAAGCTGTAGGATATTGTTTGTAAACAATTCGGGTCTGAACCTGACAATCCAGTGTTTGTCACCATGAATCACAGGTCTCCGCGAAAGGGTGAGCGTATCCTGTCCCTCTGGTGGCACCCGTCACAAACATATGCGAAGTCCAGTCAAATGTTCACCTGAAATAATTCGAGAACGTAAAAAAAGTCAACACGGGGAATTGCATCGGAAATCATTTTTGTCACTGATGCATCAAGTTTGGAAATTTCCTCCACATGTCCACCAAAAAACTTCTTGAAAGCTTTACTGGGGCCTTGAATGTTGTAACCTTGATCAAACAACTCCTGAGTGTTATAACACTCTTTGGAGTCCTGATAAAATGAGTCAGTTAGTGAGTTTAGTTTTACGCCGCACTCAGCAATATCCCAGCTATATAGCGGCGGTCTGAAAAATATCGAGTCTGGACCAGAAATCCAGTGATCACTGATAAAAAGAGCTCGCTCCATTGTGCCTAAAATGTTGTGAAATGTAAATCATTCCTATTGTCATACAGCCTTGTGGAGATTTTTTGTCACTTGGAATCTTTGTGCATAGATCTAAATATGAGACGGTCTCACTTGCCCCCTTAATTTCAAGTTCAGATGGGTAAGTCAGGTGAAGGGAATTGGCTATTTGATGGTTATTGAACGACATTAGATCGTCGATGTACCGGAAGCTCAGGTTAAACTTTTTCGCCAAATTACCTTGTTTTGATTTTGCCAACTCAAGCAGCAATTGGGAACAAGTCGGATCTGCCTTGAGACTTCAAAACTACCTATCACCTCTTGAGGTACTGTGATAGAGTTTAGTTTGTAACTCAAGCTGTTTCAGTTCAATTTCTTTTTTCAACTTTCAACTCCTTCATATGAAATCCTCTCACTAATTTCAATCAAGACCAAAGCATCATCATAAAAAATTTCCTCCTTAACCATGCATGTGATCAAACTGTCTTGAGATCGGACTTAAGAGATCTAGTTTGTAATATTTAGACTATTCGACCAGATTGCCAAGTTGAAACTGAGAAGTTGTCCGGGAGTCCAGCCGTAAAAGAACTAGGTGTGAAACAAGTTAACAACAAATAAATGTGATGTAGCGAACAATTCTATGATTGACCATGATCACTATTCAATACAAATCAAGGTATCACTATATGGCAGTACATATTTGTGTGGCAGTACAAGTCAGGGAGAGTCAGTATAATACATCAGCAGTGATCATAGCAAAAAATAACATGATGAAAATATTCACCTCTCAGCCATACCAACTTGAAACTAGGGCCAGGCAACGTCTTCTGGTGACTTGAGATGTAATGTGAGATGAATGGCAAAGATGTTGTAATAGTCTAAACTAAGACAGATGATTCTGGAATAAGCTTTCTAGATCTCACTGTCTAAATTTAGGAAGTCTAAATAGAGGACACTATTGTCTCTCATCGACTATACAAGTACAGTGTAGAAGTGAGACATGAGCAACCTATAACATTTACCTCTCTTAACTTGAAACTAGGGACAGGCAATATCTTCTGGAGACTTGACATGTAATGTGAGATAAAAGGCAAAGATGATATGCTATAATATTCTAAACTAAGACGGATGATTCTGGAATAAACTTTCCAGATCTCCATGTCTAAATTTAGTAAGTGAGTGGGTGAGTATTTAACGTCACATCGGAAATGTTTCAGCCATATTGTGACGAGAACAAATTTGACGTTTAGAAGGAATATGTATATGTTATGAAACCTGTCGTCAAAGGACAGTAAAACAACTTGTCTATCACAGTTTGAATTTAAATGTAGCATGTGAAGTTATAACTAAAAGCACAATTTGGACAATACATAATATAAAAATAGGCTATAGATCGCCAACAACTGAAGGTAGATCACCATACTAGGGACCATCGGGACTTACAGTATATTTGCTACCTGCATGGACCGTAGTTGGATACACCATCCCTTCAGCCACAGGCAATAGAGTCTCGCGTTGACTATACAAGTACAGTGCAGAAGTGAAATATGCACAACGTATAACACTGCTCCCGGCAGGAAGTCAGTACATAAGGTCTTAGGCTACAGGCGTTTTGACCTTGTGTCTGGCCATACTGTTCGTGGACCTTCAGAACACTTGAAGGAACAGTGACCTCATGATAGGTCTGAAATGAGTTCGTTGCATTATTTCAGACAGACTTTCGAAAGCCCTTCGCCATGGATAATGTGAAAGAATCGAAGTACAAGATGGAAGTACACCATTACAAAAAGTATAAAAAGAGAAATTTCAGTCCTGGTAACTAACCATTACATACTAGGTACCATAAACCAAATGTTATTGATAGGAACGACGGTGGTATAGATGTAGGTGACGCTGTGCTTGTGAAACAACATTCTTACCGCATGAATCTAGTTCGGAGCCCCGCGGGAGGCATTTTAATACGTCCTGCCGTAGTCTGATGTTTGTCATCGATGTTGTACAAAATCAAACGGATCAATGCCAAGAATCAATAACTGCATCAGCAAATTTGGTCAGCATATCATCAGTGACATTACAATGATGATACTGTCACTAATTCTGTGGAGTGATACACACACTTGACAAGATAGCCAGGCTTACTGTCAGTGTAACGAAGTGTGAATATAGCATTTATGTTGGTTTGTAAATTTCCTTAATTTCAGAATGCACATGTTTAATTCTATCACATTTGTTTTGTTGTTTGTGTGGGTTTGTTTTTTGTTGTTGTTGTCTTGTTGTTGTAGTTGTTGTTTTGTTGTTTTTAGGGGTTCACAGATCATTTTCCTACTGATTACATATTGACGAATTGTTTCGACACATAACGCAGTAAACAGACCAAAGCTTCTTTTTAGCATCCATAACAACTACCTCCGGGACAATAACACATTTCTACAGAACTAGCGCGGTCCCATTCTGTGGGACATTTTATGAACAAAGTATACCAACTCGGTATAACAATATCGTATGGCTTGACATCGTAAGATCATATTGACATTTCGTTGAAGCCCTTAACAAACACACAGAGAATTTCAACGACGATCTCTAGATTACAATGTACTAAGTGTGGTCAAGGTCCAAGGTTCAAAATGCAATAATTTCGCATGTTTACAGAAAACAAGCACTCAACAAAAGTATGTTTTCATTATGAAGAATGTGGCTTTATTAGAATTAGTGTTTTGGTTTTCAGGAAGTTGTCAAAAGAAATGTGAAGACCTGACAGCACCACAGAATGCCTCAGCACCTGTTTCTATGATACTTGTTCCCGTGTTCGTCGTCGTCGCCGTCATACTCGTCATCATCATCATTATTCTAATTGTGCACACATGTCGAAGAGGGTATGAATACATTTCACTCAAACCTGTCTTATACCAGAAGTTGCCTTTCAATGATTAGATAATTAGTTTTGGCTAACTATGGTTTTACGTGAGTGTACATTGTGTGTGTTTTGTTAACTTGATAATGGCAAGCACCCAAGATTATGTTTATCTACCCTGAATAGCTGGATTCCAAAGGGATTGGGTTACTTGTTACAACTGTAATCTTTCGGTACCTGCACAATACATGCACAATACATATATAGAAGATTACCCTGAACTGTTCCCTTCCCATGATGAACAGTACATTGTGATCAAGTGTTCGATACGAGAAATATCAAGCTCTGGTTTAAGATGAATTTTGTTTATCTTTGAAGATCCAGGTTAGAACCCATGCATGCCATAACAGGGTCAGGGTCAGGGTCAGTGACTTAGTTGATGCCTGTCATCGTAACCCAAGTGTGTAGATCGATGCTCATGATGTCAATCACTGGATTATATTCCAGTTGCGATTACTAATAGAACATTGATTAATGCGACCATATAAATGAGCAAATAAAAAAATACTTTTGGTTTCCTGTGAATTACTGATTGCTGTTCTGTTGCAGGCGTGGGTGGATAATAAAAGGAAGGCGAATGGGTAAGATATAAATAAACAGATTTATGACATCACATTTGTGACCCCATCACTTATAAGTAAAGTTACACCTTTTACCGTTTTTCAGGAATCAAATGACACCGCTATGTACATTTAGAATGTATGATGTTCCCGTGTAGTACATATCTCAAAATGTAAAAGAAGCTGATCATCTTCTTTCTGTTGAGCGCTTTAACAACTCACCTGTCCTGAAAGGCTATAAATGCGTATGTGTAACAAATCAAGAACCCATCCCGCCCTTACTTGTAACAAAGTAAGGAACGACAAAGAGGTAGGATGGATAAATTCTTGTTTATTCGTCACATCCGCAGCGGCTAGGCAGTCTGGCGGTTGGGGCAGTCCTGGCCTGTTTGCTGAGATCAGCTGGTGTTGTTGCTGTCTCTGCTGCTGTCTCGTTCTCTCTGCTGCTGCTGTCTTGTTACCCCTTGGTTAATATTAATGGTTCAGTCATCTGCTGCTGCTGTCCAGATCTCTGCTAATTCCTCTGTTTGGCCGCCTTCCCTTATATACCCCCTTGCAGGTCACACATAGTCCAAACATTAATGTGCCATCGTCGTCATGGTGTTTTATTTCACAGCATATTGATTTGTTGACACATTCAGGGGCTGACCATGGATTGACCTGGGACTGACCGAGGGAGGCGGCCATGAACTATGGCATCACAAATGTCCATGGATGATGGATTTATTTATTTTTATTTATTTATTTATTTATTTATTTAAATGGGGGCGTTGTTGTTTTGTTTTTAAGGCATCAAAACTACGAGCTCAATATGATGGTTAGGTGGGCATTTTCCACACTCAAATTCGATTATCTCTTAATGTTTATATTTGGTGTTGTGCTATTCATCATTTGTTGTACTTTTAGATACACTTTGCACACTCCATACAGTGAAGGAGGTATAGTGAATCAGTTATTTTCAAATATGGTAAACAGTCACACAAAGCACACATTTACACACATATATTTCTGATGTCCTTGTTATCTATAAAGCAACTAGTCTCTCGTACAGACCCTGAAGCAAATATATCCAAGAAAGCCCACGCAAGTCTAGATTTCCACAGCTTCAGGAAAGTCTCAGGGCTCCTGTTCATTATATATATATTATTTTTTACTATGCACTTTTTTTTCAGTAAAATAGGTTCATTTCAGAGACTAGTTGTTAGTCTATAAAGCAACAAGCATCTACCCAGATCCCACAACCGGAGCATATCCAGATTCAACTGTCACTAACTTATATCATCTTGAAAACTACGTGCCCGTGTGACGCAACGCACCTCGTCATATAGCGTTATTACGGCCGTCCGAAAACGTATGATGTCCGAAAATACATAATCCGACGATATATGATCAGTTGATGATTGTGTATGAGTCCATGATCGTGTATATGAGAGTGAGAGAGAGAGTAAATTTTACTAGTTGTGGATTTCACAGAATGGGGTTGTATATTAAGTCCGAATCTTAGTTCAGCTATACTCCGTGACTGTATCTAGGATAACTTGTTGTAGGACAGAAAGCGTTTTCAAGTAAGAGAAGCGTGAAATTGGTATACATGATTAAAGACATAATGTGTCTGGTGTTTTAGAGTGTGTCATATGTCAGTTCCACCTACAATGTAATGAACAACGGTGTGACAACTGTAACTGCCAGTCTACGCGTGCAGGTCGTGCTAGGATCGCATCACAGAGGCAGTAGCTTGTACCATTGCCAACGTTGTTTAAATATCATTGTGAAGTAGATTATCCTAGTTCCTCAGACGTTTGTTTTCTATTTTCAGGCTCGGATGATGCACGCGGTCAGCATCAGAATCTCCTTGCTGATGGCGGTAAGAACACCGGACGGAAATCATTATCTTAAACCAGTATTGATTTTAGACAGAATAGCAATTTTTACACGCTAAGCTTCCATAATCTAATACAGCTGAGCTGTGTATTCGGACCGAATGGGTTTTCCACATCAGAGAAGTACCCTGTTTTCATGTTTGTCACCATATTCAGATAGCAGGAATTGTTTGCTCCATTTCTATGAAGGTCTGGGGTTGATTTACAGCGCCCCCAAAATGTGTTTTATCGGGATCAAGTCTGAGAAACGGGAAGGGCAGTTCATGACACCAACACCGGCGTTGCATCAGAAGAGAATGAGTGAGTGTGTGAAGTTTTACGCCGCACTCAGCAATATATTCCAGTTATATGGCGGCGGTCTGTAAATAATCGAGTCTGGACCAGACAATCCAGTGACCAACAGCATGAGCATCGATCTGCGCAAATGGGAACCGATGACACGTGTCATCCAAGTCAGCGAGCCTGACCACCCGATCCCGTTAGTCGCCTCATAAGACAAGCATGGGTTACTGAAGGCCATTATTGTAACCCGGACCTTCACGGGTCTACATCAGAAGTTGTGTGTCACAACTGCAGTGTGGGGTGTAGCCTTGCCATGTTGAAATGTCAGCCCAGGACCGTGCAGCTGCATGAATGGCACACAATACGTCTAATGAGAACTGCACTTTAACAAGTGTCAAGTTATTAATTTGGTCGAGTAAATATCTAAAATATTGGGGCATTCATTACGTTTGTTCTCTCATTCGCTGAGGTACTTGGTGCAACGGCCATTGTTTCACAATAAAGCTATACTCTCATGATCATATATGTAGCGAGGTTGCACTGTGTGATACGTGTGTCCACCTGTAGTCCTTTGTGTTTCAAGAGTGTATTTTGATTGTTTGGTTTCTTTGCAGGCATTTGTATACCGGCATTATAGTATGATAGGTGTACCATTCAGTGAATAATTACTACCCCATATATGCACATTGTGAGTTTCGAATGCTGCCGGCAGGACAAGATTATATTACTCTGAACAGGTGTTGTTATAACTGATCCATTCACATATTAAGCACGGCTATTTGCCCTTTTAAGTTCAGTCCTGTGGTGTTCAGGTGTCCTGTGACCCTGAGGAACTAGGTGCCAATGTTATTGACATTGTTTAACAATTTCTACTTAACTGTAAGTTACAACTAGCATGATATACCTGCTGAAACAACGTAGCAAATTTGTAAGATGTGTCATACGTATGACCAGCAGTGTGACCTTTGTGTTACAGTGCCTCAGGACACTGACCTCAATGTCGCCTGCAAACAAGGGGACCTACAGCGAGTCAGAGACATCCTGGACCAGAGTCTGGAAGACAAGGACAAACAGGGGAAAGACGGCATGACACCGGTGTTGTGGGCAGCAAGACGGGGACACAGGGAAATCCTTGACCTGCTTGTGAAGTACGGAGCTGACCTGAAACTTGTGGATATTGTCAGTAACAACATCCTTCACTGGGCGTGTCGTGGAGGGAATGTTTCAATGGTGAAACACATCATCTCAATGAACGCGGTGAACATCAACACTAGAGGGCGGGATGGGAGAACCCCATTGATGTACGTTGCTCGTAACGGGGAAAATAAAATATTTCAGTTACTTGTTAGTAAAGGGGGTCTTCCGTCAGATGTAGACAATGATGGAAACGACATCCTTGAACTCGCCTGTTGGGGTGGAAGTGTGAAGATGGTGGAGTACATCCTCAAACATAAAGCATTAGACATCAATGGTAGAGGACAGTCCGGGAGGACTCCAGCGTACAAAGGACATGGAGAGGTACTTGACTTACTTGAGAGAAGCGGAGCTGATCTAAATGCAGCTGATGATGCTGGTGACAACGTTCTCCATTCAGCCTGTCTGGGAGGACATGTGGATATTGTGAGCCGTGTCCTCAAGCTGAACAAGGTGGACATAAACAGTCGCGGTAAGAGCAGTAGGACACCACTGATGATGGCAGCAAGGAATGGGGATAAAGAAATATTTGACTTACTTATTAATAAAGGAGTTGATACAAGACCAGAAGATGATGACAGTAACAACATCCTTCATCTTGCTTCTGAGGGAGGGAATCTTGATATAGTGAAGTATGTCCTCTCTCTGAAGATTGTGGACATCAACGCCAGGAACAAACATCAGGAAACACCAACCATGATGGCGACAAGGGGTAGTGAGGTGTGCGACCTGCTTGTATTCTATGGTGGTCTCAGTGAGTAAGTGAAGGGTAGATGGAGTGAGTTATAACTGAACGTCACATGGACAATATCCCATGCATATTGGAACAAAAACGCTACATGATAATAATAAGTATATTAAGCTTATATAGAACGTCTGTCGTCGAAGGAAAAGAGTAAGGTTACCACATATTATATTTAAAACTAGTTTGAGACCCATATATGTTAGATTTGGGACTGCGCTTTCTCAGTAAAGTACAGATTGGAACCCCCTCCCTCATAGTAAGGAACCTAATCGCACACACAGTGGGTGATCTAACCCAGTCAGCCACTGTGGAGCCATTGTGGATTTTGCCCACTCTCTGAAAAAGGCATTGGGTATTCATTGTCCAAGATAATTTTAAATGAATATATTAATATTCCATAAACACATCAAATAAATGGGACTATAGTTCACCAGCAACCAAAAATAGCCCAACATAATGGAACATACGTACTATATTTCTGCTTTCTGCGCGGTTCCCAGTCAGATTTACACCATCCCTCTAGCCGCTGGTGATTGTACACAATTTCAGACATATGAGTTCCAATATCTATTACACAATGTCAAAATTCATCAAGTTCATTAATCCAACGAATAAATGAGAACTACCTTGGTTCATATGATCCTATATGGATGAAACCCTGAACTAGTTATCCCTTGTGATAGATAAATCAATACAGTGAAGCAGGACGTACATCAGCGTAAGACATTCGTTCATCACGTGGGATACGGAACGGAGGATCTTCATCTTTCAATAAATATTCATCAGTATATGGTAAATGACTAATACGAGATCGTTGTTGTTTAAAAGCCTTAAGACGGGATGTCTGAAAAAAAATGAATAATATTCCATCTGTTCAACTTAATTGATATATATCAGGGCTGGTAAAATATCAAGTGTGATTCGGAAGTGAAAATGGAAGAATTACTAGTAATCTAGTTCATAAGGTGCTGGATCCTATGATAGTCTCTTTAGCAACACCGGTACCCTCCTTGGATCCATCCGTGAATATTGATTTGTAAGTATTATGTATATTTGATGATTATGTTTGATGATGAATATGTTTGAGAGAAACATACAGACATCAAAGAGATGGGGTGTAGTAATGTAGTAATTAACACTTGTATTGTAAAACAGTATGTTCACAAACCAATACAATGATATCACAGTGGCACTACAAAATAGAAAGTCAGTACAAATTCAAAGGTAATGTGATACCAGAGCAGTGGTTATAGCAGTAAAGACAGTGATGGTGATATTCACCTTAATCAATCTTAATCAACCTGCAAAATAAGCCTAACTGGGTATGATGAACATGATGGTCGTCGGGTAACTTAACATTCTACAACATGATAAGGTTTATATTCGTCAGGGTAACTTAAGATGTCATAGAATAAGATGCTAGAACATTCTACAACCTCCTCTCTCTCTCTCTCGTTTGGTTTGCTGCCATTTGACATATTTTTGGTTTTGGCCGGCATTTGTTTTCGTGCTTTGCCTTCTCAGGGCTTAAATTTACATAAAAATGTTTCCATTTACACCCACAGTTTATCAGTGTTCGAGTAAGATCAATGTTTCAGTAACTAGTAATAGATATTGCCACCACCTGAAAAGAGGTATGCAGAAGACTTCATTATAGTCCTCACCATTGTCAGAGTCAAAATATTTTCTTTTTCGTCAAATTCTGTAATTTCGGCACATAATAGTTTTTCCTAGTTTGGCTATATCATATTTCTTGGATAGTTGTGTGTCATCTTTCTAAAGATGGGGAACACCAGATTTTACCTGTTATTCTTTGCACCTTACTTTAAACCTTAGATCTTTCTCCAGGATTAGCGTTATTTGTTCTTAAATGTATTTAGGATGTGGACAGTTGGCTTGTAACGGAATTATTTCTTTGCTTTTGTCCCAGCTTTGATGGTGTTAATGTGAGTTGTTAGTGCACATAGAGGCAACGAAACCCTTTCAACATTCATAAAATATATCTGCCAAAAGCAGAGTCTATTGTACAATTGTGACTATTTCATGAGCATATACTTGTTTCAGCAGCATTACAGCTGTATGAAAATGTTTGTAAACATAACGAGTCTGAACCAGACAATCCAGTGATTGTCACCATGCGATACGACAACAGAGCAGGTGTTTGTGAATCATTATGAAAAAGTGATGATACCAGGTGTTCGCGATAAGGTGAGCGTATCCTTCCCCACCGGTGGCATCCGTCTTAAACATATGCTAAGTCTAGACAATTGCTCACCTGAAATAATTCGCGAACGTATGGTATAAGTCAAACTAGGGAATTGCATCGGACATCATTTTTGTCACTGATGCATCGAATTTGGAAATTTCCTCCACATGTCATGGTGGGCCAACTGGCTAAAGCGCCAGGCTAGTGATCCAGTGAGATTGAGTTGACGGGATCGAGCCCACCTCTGACCGGGTGTAAAAACCTTGGAATGAACTTTGTGTGCAGACTCACCGCACTTAAGAGAACCACGAATCCGTTGGTATATGACCAGATGGTGGCCACATGTATACCTGCAAACACCTAGTTGCGGGTACAGCAACGTGCAGTAAACTTGGACAAAGTACTGTGACTATGTGTCCCAGTCCACCCAGCTGTGAATGGGTACCTCGTAAGGATGGGAAAGCCACACTAACTCGTTGCGCCTAGTGGCTGCAAGAGTTGTATGCTCCCCAGGGAGTTGAGACTGATAATATGACGTGCCGTTGAGATTGACATCCAGTGATCGAGGGAAATACAAAGCGCATATGGGCTATACAAAGCTGAGCTGCAAATCGGCGTATATACAAATGTTAGTATGTATGTCTGTTGTAAAACCTCTTGAAAGCTTTACCGAGGTCTTGAATGTTGTAACCTTGATCAAACAACTTCTGAGCAAAAGTGCTATGAAGCTCTTTGAAATCCTGATAATAAGAGCACGCTCGACTGTACCTCAAAAAGTTGTGAAATGTAAAGACCAAAGGCCGGATCTGTTGGAATATTGCTCGACATGAAAGGGCAGTTGGCTATTAGGAAGTTGAAAGCCCAGTAAAGTGTTGGGGGTTTGTTTTTTTTTGTATTTCTTCGTCATTTCACGAGACAGTATGCGTAGATCTAAATATGAACCAGTTGATGCGAGCTCACTTGTCTCCCTGATTTCAAGTTCAGGTGGGTAAATCAGTGGAAGGGAATTGACTGTTTGATGGTTATTGAACGATATTAGATCACCGGTGTACCGGAAGCTTAAGTTAAACATCTTGGCCAACCCAAAGAGGGGAGCACATGGCGCCCATGGGTTTGTACTACCTGCCACGCCCACTTGCTGACTACTGTTTCCCGATGAGCGAGGTTGTATTGCATTGTTCCTTTGAACAATGTCAGTGATCTTGTATCTGTACAAGTCTTTTGTATTGTTACTGGTTAAACAAGCAGGCTGTGAAGTAATCTATTGAAGTGATATGACTGTTTATATGATTGCTTATGTGCTACGTGGCGTTTATACTTCCATCAACACAAAAAAACATGTTGAAGTCAATTGATAACTTTATTAATATATAGACCTTAGGAACGCTCTTGGTGTGGTTTTGCATCATAATCAAGCTAATCACAGTTATATGATAGGCGCCAATTCCAGTATCCTCAAACGTTTGTCCTCAGTATCTGCTCTCTACGAATGATGTGACAATGGACAAAGAAGGTCTCTCTGGACTGCTGTCACACAGTGATTTCACTGAGTCTTTTAGGGAATACATGAAATCCCTGGGGGTTACAGTGATTGTACCAAATCACTGAGTCTTTTAGGGATAACGTCAAATCCATGGTCTCACACATTCCCTGCAAGACACACACATACATATAACACACACAAAAACATGCCCACACATACATATTAATGCTTGTATCTCTCTATCGTCTGTGTGTGTCTCTCTCTCTCTCTCTCTCTCTCTCTCGTGTGTGTGTATATATATATGATATTCTCTCAAAACAGATATAGAACTCAAATAGTAATCAGATAAAAATATATATTCTCTCAGTATTTTATAAAGAACCTGGTTTCTACAATGTTATATTTATACTTATGCTGTGAGATATGTGTGTCAGAACAAATAAAAGGTGCACTTTACATACTAATGCTTTACAGATTTTGCAAGTTTATTCATTGTTTGTTTTATATGCTTTGGTTGTGTTTCAGACATATGTTTTGTGCAGTATGTAGGTTCATTTTCCAACTGATTACGCAACATTATCGTTATTGATCGATAAACATATCTTGAATTATTTATGTCCTTATGCCTTTCCGATGTTTACTGGTACGTTTGCATTGAAACAAATTCACTTCCAGTTTCTGGCGATTCATGGCCCGTTTTTGTATTGTATTGTTCTCTTTAATAATATCGTTTTGTGACTGCAAGCCAGCTTTACCTTATCTGTGATGCTCTACTAGTTTTACTGTTCATCGTCAGCCGCCTTTTTAATTTCTAATTTTATTCTTCTCTGGTGTGATAAATGATTATTCTCGTCACGACATGGCTGAAATATTGCCGATGTGACGATAAATATTAACTCACTCACTTAAACAAAACCCAACATTTGATTGAGTACTTTTGCAAACCCCAACCTGACCTAAGTTTCATTGTACTTTCATCACAAGCTTGAGGAACAACAGCACTTGTCCACCCCATCGGGCATTTTCAAGTTGTCATTGACGATTTAGAGAAAATAAGAAGCTTTAAGGAGCACAAAGCATTTAAATATGTGTTCTCATTGATTCCATGTTTCAACTCGCCAGGTGTTGTGATGTGTGTCATGTACCTGCAAAGCTATTTTAACTACTCCATGAGATTTGTTATATCCTATCTAATTATTTTATGGTTTGGAAACATCTTTTGTGTACTTACTTTTACTCTTTATGGTATAGTCTCCTTCTGTGTTTTACATTCTAAATGTGTGTTTTATAATCCTTTTATCCAATCCATCTTTCGCAAATACTTACACAGTGTATATCTTATTCACTTTTAATGTACAAATAACCTACGGTATACACTTTGTGATAAGAACTATATTTTATGTAAACATAGTGCTATTTGGTTTACATCGTCTCTCGTAACCCACTTTGGGTGGCTGTACTGTAAATTCTATGTTTATACTTTTGTATTAAGAAGTGAGACGTGGATAAACAATATGTCTGTCTGGCCTACGACTTTGCTATTCCATCTCACTACAGATACAGAGTCATTGCTTTTGCTTGCTATTTCAGTTTCTATCGCATGTGGGGTTAAGACATACACATTTTTGAGATTCACTGTTCAAATTGATTGGGTGTTTCAACAAATATTTCAATATGAACTTGCAAGATGTTGTTCTACGGCTGTAACTTAAATTAAACATTTTACAGATATAGTATTTTGAGTCTTCATTTCAATTTATGGCCACAGGGAGCTGTGTAGTCATGTATCATGGACGGTAGATTAAATCATGACAGATTCACAACGAGGAGAGTTCTATGGATATCAAAAATATTTAATAATAATATGAGCGGTGTAGCTACTAACACCGTTATTAAGCAACGGATGTGCAATACTGGAGGCAAGGCTATATATAGTAAGGTTGAACAGCGACTGATGTTTACAGAATTAACGAGGTTGAGGATCAGTTGACTTAGCTGTGATGTAACAATTGTAGATGTCCAGCAGCTAGAGGGTCATACTCTGGACCATCAGCTGACGGTAGGATGTGACACTTGTAGATGCCCAGGAGCTGGAGGGTCATACTCTGGACCATCAGCTGACGGTAGGATGTAACACTTGTAGATGTCCAGGAGCTGGAGGGTCATACTCTGGGCCATCAGCTGAC